GAGGACTATGTTCTCTTTTGGCATGTTTTTTGGTGTGTTAAAGTTTTTAAATCCCCATTGTCTCCCAGTCTCTAATGAATTTCGAGGATAGTAAAGTTCAAAAAATATTTTTAAATAAGAGGATTTTTTCCCAAGGAACTAACTGGCTTTTGAAGCAATGGCTTATTTTTTGGGTAGAACTAAAGGGGTTTTTGGGAAAATATTTTGTTGTGGGTTTTTTTTTGAAGGACCTGCCCAGTATGGGCCAACAGGCCTACTGCAGTGTTTCTCCTTTCTTATGTACATAAGAACATAAGAAAGTTTGTGGAAAAAAGCACTTATGTACAGTTCAGGACATTAAAAGAACTTTTTCGTCAGAGTGGCCTCTTCAGTCCTAATTGGTATCACCATACCATTTTCTCAGCATAAGAAAGGCAGAACACTGCGCAGGGCCTGTTGGCCCATACTAGGCAGGTCTTTCACAATCCATCTCAGTAACAAATATTTGCCAATAGAATTTTCAATGCTACCCATGTGCAAGCCCCACTCAATCCAACCCTTCACACCCATGTATTTACCAACCTAAATTTGAAACTACCCAAGGTTTTAGCTTCAATTTAACCCTACTGGGGTAGACCACTCCACTCATCAACTACCCTATTCCCTGAACCACTACTTTCCTATATTCTATATCCTGAAGACTAGTCTGTGTGCTCTCTGTGAATCTGAAAAAAGATGTCCTCTCTTGAACAACTCTACCAGCAGCTAAAAGAAAACTTAGGGTTGCTAAGCTCGAGATACGATGTTTGACGGAGGAAAACAAGAGGTTCGTAGTAATCCTCCTGTTGTGAGTCCTCAGGTCAAGAGGGGAAACCCTGGTCAGTGCCGAGCAACATGGAACGAAGCTGAAGATCAAGAAGACTGTTGGAGTGGCAGAAACATGAAGAACCAGAAGACTGTTGTAGGAAACTTCCAACCCCATTTTCACTGCTACCCGATGAATGTGGGTTGTGTACTGGGAATGTCAAAACGAGCACCAAGGAGGCTTTGACAGACGAGAGTGAGTCGACATCCCTTGAAACCCCAATGAAGACCATCGAGAATGTCACGAACTCTGCCAGTGAAGGTAAGAACATTGTTTTAGTTGGGGACAATCAGTTAAGTTTATGGATAGGGCTTTTTGTCTTGGGGACGGGGAAGAGGAGGCAGAGGGTATGTTTTCCTGGGGCTGGCATGGGGATACTTTTTAGCCGTCTAGATGATATCATAAAAGGGTTTAACTGGAGAAACCCCTATTATCTGCCTCAGTGAGGAGGCAATGATGTTGGCAGCATATGAGTGAAGACCTGATTAGCAAGGTATAGGACAGCAATAGAGATAATTAGGAGGGTGGGAACCCTGTGATATGTGGCATTTTGACCGGGGAGAGGAGTTGGAAATGAATGGTTGTCCAGGGCAATTGGTGTCAATTGCGGGCTGGACAGACACTGAAAAGGAAAATTCAGTAACATTCATTGATAACTGGGCCCTCTTCTATGGTAGAAATGACATGTATGCCAGGGGTGGGGTTCACTTATCTAGGTTTGGGGTGGGAGCACTGGCCAAGGCAGTGGAGGGAGCTCTTAGGTCTTTAAACTAGAAATAGATAGTAGTACGAGTTTTTGCGGAAAATCAGTAAATTATCAGTATAGCGATAGTGTGAGTTTTAGGAAAACCAGAAATAGGCAGAATGAGATAGTGGACACTAGGTGAAAAGGACAGTAACAGGTATAGTGGAGGAACAGAAATCAGGAAGAGAAAAGTGAAGGGAGGTTTTTTAAACATTTTTATCTAATACATGTAGTGTGAGAAATAAGATGGACAAATTGAGATCAGTTGCAAATGCAGGTAACATTGATGTTTTGCCATAACTGAGACATGGTTTAATATGAAGAATCAGGACATGCCTGCTAAATGTCACATTCAGGGTTTTTAAACTGTTTCAGGTAATAGAAGTATCGGTAATGGAGGTGGGGTGGCCTCTATATCTGAGATCTTTTAAATTGTTGCATAAAAAACTGGTATGAAGTCTGAAATAACACAGTCTGGATAGAAATTTCATAGGGCCAAAGAAAAATTGACTTTGGTGTGATATACCGTCCCCCCAAACTTAGATAGGGATCTGGGAGAAATTGTTAAGGCCACAAGGCACGATAATGTAGTAATTCTAAGGGACTTTAACTTTTGTTCCCGATTGATTGGAATTTTTCGACTGGGAATTTTTGAATCTTAACAACTTTCTAGAAGTAGTTCAGGATTTTTTGAAGCGGTTGTGACAGAATCTACAAGGGGAAATAAAACCCGCTTGACTTGGTTCTGGCAAACAAGAAACCCTTGTTAATAATTTAGAAATTACAGAGGAACTTGGCACAAGCGACCGCAAATTGATTACCTTCAGCATTGAATGGAATTATGTAGTAGGAACAACATAGTAAACGGTCCCAGATTTTTGCTTATCAGATTACAATGGGCTTAGAGAACACTTATCTGTTGACTGGGGTAAAAGAAGAGATCTATCAATACGACAGCTTTCTAAACACTAACCCAAACTGCCCCAAAGAACGTTTATCCCGTATAAAGAAATTAGATTGAATGGAAATGACCCAGGAATGGTTGAGTAATAGGCTCAAATATCTTCTAGGGCAGAAGAAAGGAATTTATAGGTGCATCAAAAAGATGTGAGGGTCATCTTATGGAATCAATATATTGACATTAAGAGGGATTTTAAAAAAGGAATTAAAAGCTAAACGGGACTACCGAAATTAAAGTCGCTAGGG